CAGATCAATAATCACAGTGAAAAAAAAAGCTGTAAAATGGAACTCCAATTTTAAATGTTGTTTATATAACACGGCATTTGTTCAGAAATGACTTTTCTGTGTTAAGAGTATCAGTTTCGAGAGATTTTTTGTTTTAGAATAACCAAAACAATAGTCTGCTTGAAATTAATTGGTTATAGAAAGGTTGTTCATAAAACTTCTCTCCTCAATTTCTTTACTGTCAAACATAAAAATAATGATTGATCATCCAAATGTTGTAGCTTGTAACCTACAGTTGTTTCCAAGATGTATTGTTCTGACAAAACCTACAGTTATGCCAATTCCTTATTGTTGTGGTGATTGCCTGTTTCAGTCATCATAAGTCTCTACCAAGGCTAAAACTCAGTAATGTTTTATCCTAAATTACTTGTCTCTATGAAAATTTAACAAAACCAAAACCAATCAAAAGCCTAAATTATTTCTGATATATATGATATGAGTAGTCAAACATCTCATTGAAGAAATTGATTATTCCATATATTACAGGTAATTAAAATTATGATTGCCAAATTGATTATTAAACAACAACAAACTCATAAGCCCCAACTATTTTGGGTCAACTACATTGATCTTTTATGAAAAAATTATACGTTTAGCTAAGTTCAAAATGCTTAAATCTTTATGTATAATTTCTATTAAAGTCCTTTTAGGTCTTCTTCTACCTCTCCTTGTATCATTGACATTAATCATTTTACCTCTTCTAACTACAGCATCTGGATATCTCTTAAGCACATGCCCATATCGTCTTAAACGATTTTCTCTTATCTTATCCACTATTAAAGCGATACGTATTTCTTTTCCTATCTTTTCTAAGAACTCCACACATTCATTTCAACATTCTCATATTGACAATGAACTTTTTATATATGTTGCTTCTTACTACCCAACACTCAAATTTATAAACCATTATTAGTCTCACAATTGCCTTATAATTTTTTTTTAAATCTTAAAGGTATCCAATGATCACACAAGACTCCTAATGCCTATCGCCATTTTAACAATTCCGTTTTTACTCTATGAATAATATTTTCATCGATCTCTGCATCTTATTAAATAATTGATGTAAGATACATAAAACTTTTACTAAAAGAGATTTCTTGTGCATCCAACTTAACTATATTCTCTTTTATATTCATAGAATCACTAAAATTACATTTTATATATTCAGTTTTAGTTCTACTTAATTTAAAACATTTAGTTTCTAAGGCTTGTCTCTATATATCAACTTTATAATTAATTCCACTTATGCTTTCATTAACTACGACAATATCATTAATAAAGAACATACACCAAAGAGGTCTATCATCTAAGTAACTAATAAGTTCATATAGTATCAATGTAATAAGGTAGGAATTTATTGCAGATCCTTAATATAATTCTATGCTAATAGGAAACTCACTAGATCCTTAATATAATTTTTAAACAAAAGCTAAGCTAGATTATGGTAAAGGCAGTAACTAAACTAAAGAATGTCGAAATTTAAGAGAAGGCTTGTCAGGCTCGATCTAAAATAATATTTAAAGAAGCTAGTTAGATGTCTTGTTCCAAGAAGACTTCAGATTTTGGCAGAGCAAGAAATGTAACAATATATGAAATATAATATTTGAAAACATCATTCCTTGAACTTATTGCAAAATATGAGTCTAAACATTATATAAGGTACAATAAGGTGTACACATCAGCAATGAACTCATATGTAACTAATAGAAATTTTACAAATTGTCAAGGATTCTGTAACCATACATAGCCTATTAGAAGAATCCTGTATTGTTAGAAAAATTATGCTCCCAATAATAAGCAGATAAGTGGAACCAATCTAAGAACAAAACTATACATTCTAATGAACCTATATGTCTATTTATAGCTAGATACAAAACTAATTACCAAAATTGAATCTCAGACATCAGAAACTTCAAATTTCCTCCAGAATATGACGAATTATTATCAAATAATCCAGACTCAAATAAAAACACATGGTACATAAGAAAGTGACCACCCTGGTTTTGTTATTTATGCAGATTCTAATGCAAGCCTGATTCATCAGTAAATAACTTCAAACATTGCTGAACACACAACAAAGCCCTATCATTTTTCTAGAGTGTTACCTTGTTTATTTGTAGCCACTTGTTTATGCATTCAAAGTGATATCTGTGCTTGCAAGAAAGCAGCATCAAGGAATCACCATCCTCATACTCCAGCCGGCATATGACACATCTGTGGTTTTCATTCAATTGTTGCGTAGACAAATTTCAAGTCTTATATAAATGAATAATGCTAGAAGCCTGAGATATATGTATGCATACTGTTCAGCATTGCTGTCTTGGACATTGTTTGCCGTGTAACTTACTAAAGGCAAAGCGGATATTTTGTCAACCGAAAGGCCTCTATTTTCAGTTCCAACTACCTCGCCTAGTGCAATTAGTTCCTGAAGAAGAAGAAAAATCAAAGTCCAACTTAAATGAAGTTTTATAAGAGGGGCAAAGTTTTTGGAGGCAAAAGATCACTTGCCTCATATGAGTATTCATCTGGATCAACCTCTTGCCAGGCATCCTGAGATAGAATATGTAATATGTAAGACAATTTCATAAGTCTTTTATTAAATTACAAGCATCTTTCCACTAAAAAAGCAAAATTTGATTAAATCATTTCTTTCGTTTCTTATAAAAATCTAATTTGAATTAGAGTTTGGCTGTTTATGTTGTACAATGATAAATTTTGATGAGAAAATAAAAAATTCAAGTAATTAGTGTGGTAAGTATAAACATCCGTAATTGTGGTTTGTGAAACAGGGCAAAAACATATGATTTCACATCCATCCTTACATATTGAGCACAAAAAATACGCATGTCACAGGTATGTTTTTCTTTGCGCCACATCCTTATTCAGGGCTGGTTTTCTCTTATCAAAAGCCAGTTAAAAACAATCAATTAAGATTTACTGATGGAGTGTGATGGGCATAAAACTTGAGTTTTAGTCAGCTTGAATTATATCCAGAAGCAGCTGTTGCAGCTCACAATGTTCAAACACCAAAATCGCAGGATCCAACCTCATAAATTTTATTCAATTTTACAGACCAAGCAATCAAAGACAACCAAAGTTCAAATCAAATGTTTAAAGTAATTAAACACAATTTCTCATGGCAAACCAACTCAAGGGGTCACGGTTTCTCTTATAAAGAAGCTAGACGTCTAAAATTTAGCAATTTATTAGCAATTTAAATGAAAAACATCTAACAGAAATACAACTATACATAGAAAGCATTGCAAAACAGTGAGAAATAGTAGAATGAATTAAAACAAAGATTGCTTAAGTATCCAAAAAAAGATGAGGTAGAAACAAAATAGTGGGGAAAACTACAAGGCATGTTTGTTATTCAAACGACAGCATATGGAAGTCTAATTTGCACTTCATAATCAAGTTAATGAATTTATGAGAGTGATGAAACAGTGGTATAGGAAAAATTGATATCTCACTTGAGAGTTGTTGCCATAATCATCATGATCATCTGACACCCCTGAAAAGAAACAAACAGTCAATTCAAGATCCAATATACCGAAATCCAACAGATAGTAATGACTCAAAGCAGCATTCTCTAACATTCATTTAATCCTGCGAGGGCCATCAACCGAACAGCCACCTCCTGCTCCTCAGAATCCTGCAGCGCCATTGTGAATGCCTCATCGTCAACATCAGGATCATTAGCATCGAAAGCATCATGGTCGTAGTCGCTCCCCTCGATGTTCCCCGCGTCCTCCTCGATCACATGGTCCGGCTCGTCTCCCACGCCCTCCTCGACTTCCTCCTCCTCATAATCGTAGCTATCGGCGTCGGAGCTCTCGTAATCACTGCCGTCGACACCGTTCATCCTCAGCAATGCGTAGGCCCTCTCCTGCACCCAACCGCCAACATCAAAAGAACGCCTAAACCCTCATTCCCGACCCCATAACACGATTCGAGCATAGAGGAGCAGGAGGAGGAGGAGGAGGAGGTCCAGTGATGAGGTGCCTGTTCTTGAAGCGCGCGGGCAAGAGCTAGGTCAGCATCGACCTGGCTGAGGCTGGTGAAGGGCCTGCGGGCGGAAGGCGGCGGAAGCGGTGGCGACGTCGCCTCCCCGGATAGCGGTGCGTCCCCGGCGAGCGGTGGAGGAGTCGGAATCGGGTTAGGGTTCCCTTCGTCCGTGTCGTGTTTACCTCCGGCCATTATGACGCCGCCGAAGAAACGAAGGGAGAGCGGAGAGAGACTAAATAAGAGGCGTGTCGTGAGACGCGGTTCAGCTGCGGTGGAAGTCATTATAAAATTTTATTATGTAAATACTTTTCCACTCGTTTAACTGTACTTGTCTCGATTACCCACATTTTGATTGGTAGTATGAAGGGTTGCACCGTAAGTTTCACGAAGCACGTAGTTGAAGAGACAGGTAAATATATGGGTAATACAAACTTGGAGGTGTCATGTATAAAAAAAAATAATTATCTTTCATGAAGATTTAATAAATAGATAATTTCCACGTATCTCAGAGAATACATAAGCAGAATTAAATTATATAATTATATGATTAATAAATATAATATATATATATATAATATTAATAAAAATACTAACTAACAAAAATCTTGCCATCATCATAAGGTCCTGACTCAAATAATATGAACTAACTTTTCTCTTAAAAAGGCAGTAATCCAAACCCATATATAGAGCACAACTAAGTTGATGTCGTAATTACCAATCAATCAAACAATATTATATGAATATATGTACATATAAAATAATAAGTTTACATGTCCCATAGCTTACTTACATTTATGTCTTCTCGTGACGGGCTGGACCGGATTGGATCGAATGTATCCGTTAAAGTGATGCGATCAGTTCAGAGTGTGGGTCGGATAAGATCCCAAGATCCGACCCGTTTTCCTCTCGTCCTATAGATCCGGTATGCTGATCCGTTTCTCTCGTCCTCGCGGCGTTCGATTCCCCTCTTTCCGCCCCTCGATTCCCCTCTTTCCGCCCCTGTTCTTCTATCCTTCGACCGAATGCCGCTGGAACCCTAGATTCAGATCTGAAGCCCAGGTCACTTCTCCCTCTTTCGCGTTCGTTCTTGATCTCTATTCATCTTTTGGCGTCCGTCATGAGTGTTCTCTTGAATGTGTCGTTTTTGTGTGTGGATCTGGCGGCCGCAGTTAGATCTCATGTTATATCGCTTGGGTCGATGCATACTGGTAACTAGTTTATGTCGGAAATATCATGATTAGATCCAAAATTTCGTCTCTTTGTTAGATCTGCTACCATTCTCGATTGCGATATGTAAAATCAGTAAATTGGCTTGTTGTCAGCTTGTAAAGAAGTGAAAATATGGGATGTGAAATGAAAGTTCAGATGTTCCCTGTGTGATCTTTCTCATTTTTCTGATGTACATGTTTTTCCAAGATTTCATTCTGCGTTTATAATGGTTTAACATCATGTTACATTTTTCTTTTGACAGACTGTGTTAATCGGACTAGTTCTAGTTTGGCTGGAGTTCAGACTGGTACAAAATGGTATGTACTTTAGTCTTGCTCTTGAATTTTCTTTTTAGATCTTATGATCTATTGATGCAAGGTAACGCTTGTGTTGCTCTGTCTTTGTTGTGCTACCATGTATTTAAGCAACATCTGGAATATAATTTTATTACATGGATTGATTTTTGCAACTTGATCTTAACCATTAGCTGGTAAAACATTTCAAACCACTTTTTGGACTGCTTACTTCAATAACAAAAATGATCTTTTGAATCAACTAGATTTGATTTACTTCAATAACATATCATCTTTGATTTGTTATACTGTCTAGATTGAGTCAATTACAACCAAGCTACCCTGAGTCAGCAAAATTCTCCATTGATGTTTTTTTTTGTTGTTGCAATTATTCATCGATCCAGGAATGATGTACATCTTCTGGTTGAGAGGAACTGGGCATTGAAACACTGGCTTATAATAAATATCTAAAATAATGATGATAGGAGTGTAATTACTTGAGCCTTGTTGATCTCTTGTCTGTCCTCTACTATCTTTCTTTATGATGTCAGAAAATTTTTGATGATGTTGATCATAAATACTTATTGTTTAATCTCCTTCCATTAAATTATTTGTTTCTGTGGCTCATCTGATGGCCAGGACTGCATGAGGAGGACTGGTTCTGTAAATTTATGCTTTTCTAGAGAATTTGATTTTGGATTATGTGTTTAAAGTTGTTACATTAGCCAGTGAAGTCACCGGGTGCCCACCTAGGTGTCCGAGTGAGGTGAAGCTTAGGCTTGAGTGCCTGCCTATTGGGTTGGGCAGGTGTGACTTCACTCATGCGCGGCCTAGGTGCTTGATCGCCTAGTTCAACTCAGGCCAAGTCGAGCCTGAGTCGAACTAAACAATCCTATTTGGTTCAATTGAACCAGTTAATCTATCAAGCCTGAGTCAACGACAGCGAAGTTTGATTGAAACCACGCACGAGCTGTGCCCTAACGCAGAAGACCCTTTTCCCACTGTGTTTATGGACAGTGGCGGAGTTCCTCCCATCGGTGAACGACGGTAGCAGCGGCAGCGACGATGTCTTCCTCCAGCAGCAACGGCAGTGCCCGAGGGCAGCGTCTTCCTCCGACGACATCTTCTTCTGACGGTAGCGTCAACGACTTCTTCCCCTCCCTCTCGGAATATCTCTCTCTTTCTCCTCCTCCCTCCTCCCTCCTCCCTCCTACCTCTACCCTGTTCACCGCAGCCCTCCTTTGTTCACCACAACCACTTCCCTCTTCCCTCTTCCCTGTTCGTCGCTCCCTTCTTTCCCGTTCACCGCAGCTTCTTCTCTCTTCCCTGTTCATCGCTGCCTTCTTCCCCATTCACCGCAGCCCTCCTACATTCACTACAGCCTCTTACCTCTTCCCTCTTCCTCCTTCATCGCTGCCTTCTTCCCCGTTCACTGCTGCCACTTCATTGCTGTTTGTCAATTTAAACTTAGAACAGCTGCCTGCTTTGCTGTTTGTCTATGTTTGTGAGAACAGCAGTTGCCTGCTATAGAGAATCAGTAGTAAAATGTCGATTATTATTGTTATTGCTATAGTGATTAGTGCTACCTTTTAGTGTTTTGGATTGTCGCTGCAGCTTTGAAATCTTGAATCATGGTTACAATAGGTAGCATTTCAGATGAATTGTCAGTAAGAAACTCAGAAAAGGGTCCTACATGGAAGTATAAATATTTCAAGGACACAAAGGATCCCAGTGTCGTTTCTTGTATGTTTGGTGATAAGACAATAAAAGGTGCTATCTATCGTGCAAAACAACAAGTCAGAAATTTTAAAAATGCATATGCATAGATGTGGTTTATTTTAAAATGTAAAAGGTTCCTACTTCTTTTTGTAGTTCTGCCAAGAGGAAGACCCAAGGAACCAACTTTATAAGCCTTTCTTGGATTTGTGTGATTATTTGATTGTAATGATTTAAGGAATTTTTGGAAGTTAGAGCTGAATATTTAGGCTGGGCTGTGATTTGGTTATTAAATAAGAAGAAAATCATTTCCATATATACGAGTTTTACTCTTGGATGGAGTGAATGAGTTTTATCCCCCTTAGGTTTTGCAACTATTGTGATATTGTTGCTAAATAATGGTGTAGAAAAACACTGCCTTGCTTTGGGTGTTTTGGAATAGAAAGGTTCTTACCTCAAGGACTTGTTATGAAAAATAAAGTGTAGTTTCTGAATCTGCACATACATTTACCAAATCATATTGGAATGTGAGTTTCATGGAAGTAAATACTAAATACTAAATTTGTTTGATTTTTTCAAAAGAAACTTCCTTAACCAGGAATCTGAAGTGTCAAAGAATTATTACATTAAGAACTGTTGTTATTTTATGTATTGCAACGAGTTAAAAAACAATGAATTGAGATTATCACCTTCAAGATTACTTTCCATGAGTGTGAAACAGGCAATGCCTGAGAGTGTATCTCGCTAGTTCAAACACATAAAATGGTGGTACAGAAAATTCCTTGCCAATGCAGAAACTATTTATTAGTTTTTTAACATTGTGAGACAGACAGTAGGCAGTATATGTGTTGGCTGAGATGGAAAACTTTTTCTGTGTTGACATCTTCGGGGGTGTCAAACTCATGGATGTACCTGTGTTAAGGTAACGTGAGTTTGAAATATAAAAGTCACAGATTCACTAACAACTTTGAAAGATTTTAGTTGTTTTTAGGTTTCCATGTCCCTGGAATCTTGATTAGTTAACACAAACTGGAAGTGTAATATGTACAGTACTCATAGTGTTGTGATAAAATGATATTTGACTCTTTAATAAAATCCTTTGGATGGAGAAACAATTGATGTGAACACTTGAATGTCTTGTAAGGGTTACATGGTCGTACAACATGATGATCCTGTAGTTAGGGGCGAAGAGGTATAAAGTAGAAACTACTCAAGTAGAACTTTAGTTTACAAGTAGCAAGACCACAATTTGTGACAAAAGAAACTTAGGTAGCTTCTTTTACCATAAAAACTAGCACTGAACTTTGTCACGGGGATAAGCTCTTTTATTTTTCAGATTCATCCTCATGGGAGATCGCTAATTTTCTTTATATTGGATCTTTGAATCTTGTTTAATGAACAAGTTGTTCTTTTGTTGCTAGTAATCACCATAATATTTAAGGTTATCCTGCTGTGGCAGGTTTATCATTCTAGTTTTGTTGATGAAGAAGGGATAACGAAAGCCTGTGGTTGCCCCCTTCTTCCGTTGAAAACTCATATTAAGGGTCCTGCTCCTGTCTCAGATCAAGGTTGTCTCATGTCCCTTAGTTGTTTGTAATATCCAAATTTTGTTCCAGACCAAATATCTAGTATGTGAGTTTTCACTCATTTGGTATTTACATCTTTCCAGACAAAATCGACATTGTTGATGAGGCAATAACTTTCTTTCGAGCAAATGTTTTCTTTAAAAATTTTGACATCAAGAGTCCAGCTGACAAGCTCCTTATCTACTTGACATTTTACATCAATGTGGCTCTGAAACGGCTGGAGGGTTGCAGAACTCTTGCTGTGGGGACCAAAGCTATCATTAATTTGGGCCTAGAGAAGGTTCCTGTGCCTGGAGAGCCAGGTTTTCCTTTTCCTGGTCTTTTTTCCGTTCCACAGTCTCAGGATGAAGCAGGTATTATTTCTTGTCATCATCTGATACTAAATAGCAATTGGCTTAAAACAACTAACTTAGGCTCTCTTTTATCTAAATACATAAATGTGCATATGGAACTTGCTTAACCATATTATTTAACATCAAAATCAATTTGTGGAACTGCAGAACTATTCAGGAACTATTTGAAGCAGATAAGAGAGGAGACAAGTGGAAGGCTGCTTAACTGTGCTTATAGGCCTAATGGCACCCCTAACAAGTGGTGGCTAGCTTTCGCAAAGAGGAAGTTCATGAATATAGTTGTTCTCTAGTGTTTTGGCTTCAAATGGAATTTGTGAATGTAGCATGTGAACTGTAAAGCCATTAACCTGCTTTTGATCCTCCCACAATTCAACTGGGGACTGCAAACTTGATGATATCCAAATTGTTGAGTGAACAAGCAGAGTATAGTACTGGAATAAGAACGCTGTATGCAAACAAGTCTTGTAAAAGAGGTCCTTAATGTCTTTGTTTGGTCATTCTTTATATTTCCATTTTGTCCAAATTGTCTCAGATCAACTGGAAAAGGATGGCTCAATGAGCAAGACTCGTGTCGATATTGACAACATATGGAGTGTCCAACGACAACCGAGACTTCTACACCTCAGCCTAGGTACGCATTATGTTGATGTGTTTGCTTTCTCTGGTTGGGTTGACTTTTTTTTCAATTTTGACTTGTGATATAGGATGATCCGCTACGTGGTCTTATACTTCATGACCAAAGTGTACAACAGTCTTCATGCTCATTTTATGCACAGGTAAACTTTTTTTTTGTAATTGAAGAAATCTTCATCACATTGCAGTAAGACCTATGACCTGTGTAACGATATAATGTCTACCATGCCTAGTAACTTAGATCAATCCTTTTTCTTACTCAAAAAAACTTGATCCATGTATGGTAGTGGATTATGGTTGGAGTAATGCATTTCTTGGGTGCGTTTGTGCCTTCTGCAGGTTGTATACTGCACCAGAATGCCACCAAACGCAAACCTTCGGTGTGTGCATGAACGAAGTTAACTCGCACATGCGTCGGACCAAACGCCGCCTTCTTCCTTTTCGACGCGTACAAAGCACAGATGCGCGGCCATGTCACATGCACGCACCCATTAACATCCGTGGCCTGTTTCGCTTCTTATTAAGAGTGGGCCCCCCTGGCTGGTTGGCAAATTATTGCTCACGAACGAAACTTACTTTAGTTACGCATGCAGTTGTACCGCTTCGTGCTACCAGCCATATGATTCGGCAGAAAGTTCCGCCACATGAGTTACTGTGGGGCCCGGTTCTCCCACCAATCACAATGGTTGTATACATTGTGGGTGGGAAAAAAATTAACTACGTTGGGCTTGTACCAGTTAACCAGTTCCGGCGGGACACGGCACGCCCATTCCTCCACTCGCTCTCTCCTCTTTAAAGCCGTGCCGTGGTATTCCCAGCGAGCCGTGTAATCCGAAGAGGATGGGGAATGCACGTTTGTTGTTGCTCGCTCTTCCACAGTCGTTTCCCCTCTTTTCGTCACCGACACGAAACTGAAACTGTGAGGAAAAGTTTCCTCTTTCTGCCCTTTCCCCTTCTGCTACATCGATCGCGTTCAAGAACCCTAATCGTCCCCGTTCTCTCTTCCTTCCGATCCTAATTCGATCTACAAATAGCTTCGTCTCGGTCTCAGATCTCGTTCTCCTCTGCCAATTTAGGTTTCGATCCGCTTCCTCACCGAGATCTAGGATTTCTTATGCACCACCTCTTCCGTCCCGCAACCCACCCGATCCCTAACCTATGTCGAAGAGCGACGATGCCGCCGGCGTCGAGTTCCGCGACGTCTGGGCCGACAACCTCGAAGCCGAGTTCGCCGTGATCCGCGAGGTCGTCGACGACTTCCCTTTCGTTGCCATGGACACCGAGTTTCCGGGCGTCGCCATCCGCCCCCTCGGCGACTTCAAGACCGTCGCCGACAGCAACTACCACATCCTCCGCGCCAACGTCGACCTCCTCCACCTCATCCAGCTAGGCCTCACCTTCTCCGACGCCGAAGGTAACCTCCCGGCCTCCGCCACCGGCGGCCGCCCCATCGTGTGGCAGTTCAACTTCAGGGAGTTCGACGTTGACCGTGACATCAGCAACCCCGACTCCATCGACCTCCTCAGGAAGTCCGACATCGATTTCAAGAGGAATCGGGAGCACGGGGTGGATGCCAACCGGTTCGCCGAGCTCCTCATGGCGTCCGGCGTTGTCCTCAATGATTCCGTCCGCTGGGTGACCTTCCATTGTGCTTACGACTTCGGGTACCTTCTAAAAATCCTAACTTGCCGTAGGCTTCCTGAGACCCGAGAGGGGTTCTCGGAGCTCATCAGGACGTTCTTCCCGGTCATGTACGACATCAAGCACCTGATGAGGTTCTCAAACAGCCTCCACGGGGGGCTCAACAAGCTAGCCGAGCAGTTGGAGGTCGACAGGGTGGGGACTTGCCACCAGGCTGGGTCAGATAGCTTGCTTACTGCTCGGGCATTTAGGAAGCTGATGGAGAAGCACTTTGATGGATCAATTGACCGATATGCTGGGGTTATGTATGGTCTCGATATCGAATAAGGATCGAAGTCTCTAATGAATTCGACAAAGGAAAAATAAAAAACTTTGTTTGATATGCGTTCGTGTTTTCTTGCCTATCGTTTTTACTCTATATATCATCCTCACCATCATCATCATCATCATCTACTATGACTTCTTTGCTTTCCTGAGATTTTGCATTTATATTGCGTGCTCTGTCGTTGAACAAAATGCTGCAATAGCTTTTAAGAGTGATATCATCTGTTGAGCATGCCAATTTATTGGTTCTTGTATCTTTTATAGGCAGGTAGATTTTTCCATGGCAATTATGGTACATAATCTGGATCCTTTTGTCTTTCTTTATCCCATATGTTCTTGTTTCAATTTTTAGATAAATGGATGATGCATGTAATATAAGATTTAGACTAATCGGTTCTCTGTTTACGAATGATTGAAATCATTGCATAGTTTATCATATTCTGATGAGGTTAGTTGACTTTTTGAAGTGAATTTGTGCAACATGTGGCTATTTCAAATAAAATAGAGTTGGGCTTGCCTCAACTGGAAATTCATATTGATGTTCCACTTGATAGATGATAAAATTGACCATGTGACATTGACACATGGACATCAGTACAAGTTGCGACACTTGTTGCATGCATCATCAACCATGTTGTCGGCTACAATCACTACCTTTGGGGTGATAATGCCATGTCACTCACTACTTCGGCGGTGGTTATGCCAACTTGGTTGAACCACCACCCTAGACGTGGTTAGGCCATGTCATTTGTCACCTTTTTTTCCTTTTTCTAGAAAGGATAAGTAGTGTAGGCGGGATTTGAGCCCAAGATGTTGCAACAAATGTCATCTGTCACTTTGGTAACAATTATGTCATCTTAATGATTGAATGATCACCCCATGGGTAGTTAGATCATGTCATCCACCACCTGAGTAGTTATGTCACCTTAGAGCAGTTAGGCCATATCTCTCCAACTCCAACGGTCCTTATCATGAATGGTCTCGAGCTAATTATATATTACCCCCTTTACTTGGATCATATTAGCATTTGTAATTCCTATACATAAAAAATTTACATTGGGATCTTTATAATTCTGAAAGTGAAATAAATAACCTCATTTGTCCTAACGTCTTTAGTTGCATCGACAGAGGATCGACGCAAAAGTGATGGACAAAAGGATAATTTCAATATCCTTTCTGAATCTAACACGTGGGATGTTGAAATTATCTTTTTACAAGTAAAGTCGTTAGAAACGAAAGAGATGTTGAAATTATCTTTTTTTTTCATCACTTTCATATCGATCCAGCATGTAGTGTAACTTGTTGTGTTTTCCATTAATACAGCTGACGACATCAGGGCAAATGATATTATTTGTTTCAATTTCAGAGCTATAGGGATTCCAATATAAATTTTAAGCATAGAGATCGCGATGCTAATAGGGTCCAAGTACAGGAGGTAATATGTAATTAGCCCCTTACTCTCTCATTCTCTCTCTTTTGCATCCCCTAAATCCACTATACTTCGGACACCCTATTGATTCGAGCATTAGAGGGACCGAGTCAGAATTCCTGATGTTGATCTTCTGTAGGTTTTTTTCTGACAATCCAAGAGTGACGATTACGTAGCGGCTACTTAGATCCACATCGGCGAACCATCCCCGTCATTCTTTCAACATCCAAGTAAGATAAGCTTTGACCATCTCGAGTTGGAACCAAGTCAGGTGGTCCTCTAGCATCGTGACTGACTTTGAGGATAACACCATCGGTGAACAAATGCATGTTATATAAGTTGACTTACCTAGAATTATCATCCAACATATCCGGTTTTGACTTTTTGATACTCATGTAGTTCCTAATATATTTCTTCTGTTTTTTTCGGTTTTTATGAATTAGTTTCTAGTATGGTCATTGGAGATGTAATTAGTTTCTTGTAGTGTTCTAAAGCCTGTTGTGTATGGCCTCTCTGTATATGGTAAATTGTGTCTCAGATGTTTATGACTGTTTGCTGAATGAGGAGCATCCATCAATCTATGGCTAAATACATTTATTGATCTGGATATCTGCCTTGATCCAATACTTGAGAATCCTTGAACAAAATTTAATATTTTTTCTTCTTATGACTTACTTCCTTGATCATAGAACATGGAGGTCTGCAGAAAGAAGGTCCAAGAGTATGTTGTTGAACGGTAAGTTCGACTAACAGCTTAACAGTTTTATAACTGCAATCTATGCTGTCAACTATACAAAGTGAGTTTCTGAGCGTCTATAGGAGAAAGACACATTTAAGAAATTGGGGAAAAGTGAGCTTCCTGATATGAACAAGTTTGCAATGCACACATACAGAGTTTGCTACTGATCATATGATTAGGGATCTGCTGGTATAATGTATGTACCATCTGCTGCACCATCTTTTCTGAATCATAGAGGTAAGTTTGTATGCTACATCAAGTAGTACAACATATTATATTCAGGAATGTCTTTGAATTTAAAGTGTGTTATTTATCCACCTTGATCTTATCATCATTTTTTTGTTTTCTTCTCTAGATTTTTCCCTGTCCCCCTTAAGTTCGATGCAATATAATTCTTTTGCTCATGAGTGTTCCAGTTGCTTAAATTGTTGGATGTGCATGTGGAACATGCTGTCTCAGCTGGCTAAGTTAGCACCTAAAGATCTTTTGTTTTGCTTATTTCTTGATATCATGAGGAACATACGTGGTTTTGTATCTCTGCCTTGTTATCAATTTTTTATGGCATTGTGGCAGCAGAATACCATCGAAGACCATCTTTTCGGATGATGATTGAAGATGTTACTTTAACTAGAATAAAGATCAGTAAGAAAACTGCAAATTATGATTACAAACAATTTATAGTTAGAAAGAATGTCTGTTGCTACGTTACAACGTCAAGGTTAGATTAAAATTATTTCACGTTAATCGATTATTTATTTAAGTATAAAAGGGATTATTATCGAAAATCTCATCTGATCTTATCTTTATATAGATCGGCCACAGGACAAATGTCTAAACCCATATCAGTTATATCCATCATCGAACAAGCATCATCGATATCCACACCATCAATCATTGATACCCATGCAAATTTTGATGTATGTTCAAGAAAACGATTGATGTTTCAAAGGTTTCTCTAATTCCTTCCGGTCTCTAATTTTTTTTCTTATTTGATATTTTGCATAAAATTGTGAAAACTACATGATGAGGTCAATGCTGGACATACATGGAGATCAATGCTGAGCTTTAGCAGAATACAGGAAATATGTTTTCTCCGTAGATGTAAAGTCATTCGGACATAAATTGCAGTTCATCACACTATAATTAAACTGAAATCGTCATAAGGTCTAAATTTTTCCCACAGATGGTTGTGGAAGATAATTTTCATAGGAAACTTATATGTCAATTGCTCTATTCTCATATGGACAGCAATAAGACTTCTTCTTTGCACTACAAAATTATCTGTTAACTTATATAAAATGCTTATAAACTACCTCATAAATTGACAAAAGCATGATGCAATTATAGATGGTAATTTTGCATTCACGTACAGTAATACTTAAAACCATCCGTTTACTCCGAGTGTAGCAGTAGAACAAGAATGGCTAGTGCAGCAGAGGAAACATGTGAGACAAAAACTAGCAAAGGAAGGCTTCGAGTGGTTGCCAACTCTCAACCTCTACCCCCTCAATATATAAGGATTTACAATGGCAATAATTACACAAAAAAAAAAGTATTGGAAGATGATTAAACTTCATTCTCCTGCAGCAGTTCCATATCAGAATGGTGAAATGAGAAAGATGAAACTGGTATGATGCCTTTCAAATTATTACGTAAAAGTAAAGGGGACTCACGTTTTACTGAATGCCAGATCGCCCTCCTGCTTTGCCCAATGCTCTCTCCAGCTCATAGTATACCACTCAAGAAACCCCTAAACATGGTGTCAGATTGTTCTACATTATCTTTTATTTCAGTTTAAAAAGCATCTGATACTGAATTCTCGTGGTAAGTGATGTACCATACCAGATCCCGGTAGCTCTCTCTCTATCTCTGCATTAATGACACAGCAAATTAAGTTTAAGGAGAAAAATAGAAGTCGGATTTTTGTTTACACAATAATTTCCTCACGAACTATATTATCCTTTCTTTTTCTTGGAATAAAGATAGGGATCAAAGAGACTCGATTGCTTGCCTCGGTTTTCCTTCAAAAGCAGCATTGATCTCCTCACTGGTTGGCCTTTTAGGAAATGTGGCTATCAGCTTATACTTCTCCTTTCCATATGATTCATCAATCCTCTTGTAAAGTTCATACCCATGTGGGTAAGACATCCTGCACCAAGGAGGTTGATGATGTTAAATTAAATGTGTACTATAAGATTCCAGCTACATAAAGGACCATTTGATCTAGTAACAGACAAAGAATAGGGACGAAAAGAATAGCATGATGAGAAATTGAGAACACAAGTAAACTTGTCTTATTGAATCCCAAATAGGAGCTGACGGTCGACAGTGGTCCATCTTAAACCAAAAATGATAATAAAACTGTTTCTGTGTTGTACTAACATCTACATTGAATATATAGTACTTCCTGTGTAATAAACAAGGTTACAAATGCTTAAGAAATTGTATGTCCTCAGCAACAATTGCAAACAAATAGAAAACTGAAAAGGTTGAAACCCTACACAGATTATTTTGGTTTCCATAAACATGGCTATCCAAGAGAATCCATAATCATAAAGGAACAAATGTTTCAGAGGTTATGGCATTTTCCTTTAGTTTTCACTTCTGCTAGACTGGCGTTGTTGTCTATTGTTTACAGAAAAAAAAAAAAAAACCTTCAAGAGTTATTACCAAGTACATACTGCATGTGACTTGGGACTTATCAAGCACAAAAGAACTCAAATTTCTGGGAGCTAACCTTAAAGCGCCCATGATTGGATACTGTGTTCCTGCATAATATAGTAGCCGAAAGAAGTAACAGTTCTCGAATGATGCAGCATATTCTAATCTCTTTTCTCTTCCCATTGTCTTCAATATTTGAGGCATTGATTAGAAACAACAGTTAGAGACGAGTCTTTGAAGAGCAAGTGACTGTGTGAAAAGTTTCGCTTACTTGCATTATGCCACTTGATGCTGGCATATCCTGTAAATATCACGTGGGGCAAGGAAAGTTAGGAGAAAGACGAGACAAAAATCTCCATGTAAGTCTGGTCTAAGAAAACTTCAAGATCATCAAACAAGCAAGAGCAATGTAACTACTATATAGGCACAGCATAATCATGTTCATTAACACACAAGCAATTGAAGCTGATCGCTCTTTTAAAAAAAAGGTAGAATAGAGAGTAAAACAATTGACAGCAATTGGCAGTATGAACTAAAGCCATCGGTTTACAAAAGATCACTACCAGAGAAAGTTACTAACATGGCTCAATGTTCTTGTCTAAACAAGAACAACGAAAGATAGCAAATAGATAGACTACATGGAGATGAAGTATCTTATTAAATGCAATCCCTATCAAGGCAGTGTAATACCCTACTTAGCCTTGTTTATGAGCACATAAGGCATCTTAAGAAGTTAGGGTGAGCTAATAAACAAGCTACAAGCCTAACAATGTTCTAGTGCACTTGTCTGAAATATAAATATGTGCTGAAATTATTGCCATGATTTTATCAATTAAGGTTTATTTTTTTGAGAATTCTATATAGCAAATAGACTTTGTTCTTAAGCATCTTTCTTGCAATGTGTTTGGGACACCACAGTAGATCAAGTGGTTCAACTGGGTACACTGAGGAAGAGAGTGAATCCCCTACATCTGATTTCATCTTAGATGATAATAGAATTTTACATCCCTTTGTTGTAGAAATATGAGGAAGACAAAGAAACATTTGTACAACCTTAAGGCGAGGATTGACGAGAATCACAGGACGGTCACCAGCTGCATCTGTCATAGCTTTCATATCCTAAACATACAATTAATGGTTAGTCAGCCAAATAATAACTGAATGTACTCTGAACAGAGAAAGTTTTCTGACCAGTTACTCACGTCAATTATACAGTTCCCAACAGCATTCTGGGGAGCCATAAGAATAAATAGATCATCCTGTTCTTCAACCTCTCTGGCACCTAGAATTTCATAAAAAATTTACAAATCGAAATGGCAAAATTTATATATTATATAACACACATGTTGGTTACGAAGTTCCTAAATGAAAATCAGATAAGTGCCGACAGCTGTAAATTCCTGCATGATTACATAAGCAAAAAAATATGAGCCATGACATTATCAAAAGGTTTCTTGTGAAGGTGTACATCAATGCATATTAGTACTGATGTGCTTCAACTGGATTGTAGCTTATAACAAGCAATCATGTTTTGACTTTATATCTGTGGAATAATTTATCTTCTCATTTGAGAAATTTATCAGTTCTTGATAAATTTGAATTGCTAACTGTCATTTGAAATAGTAGACAACAAGATAGATACAACCAGTAAAGTTCAACGACAGACAAATGTATGCCTATCAATAAGTTTAATGAGCTCAAGTTTGTCCAAGTAATCACCAAAAATTTACACTGGTACTTGGGTAAAAGGCTGGTTTCAAGACAGGCAGTGGAAATTAAGATGCATCATCCTGATCAGATTATGTTCTTTGACTTTCATCCAATTGTTATTGAAGAAACCATGGTGTCTCAGAATAACTTTCTCATGGTTGTTGCCATCTGAGCTTCCTTGTTTACACGTAATCTTTTCTTCAATTCACTAACAACTCCAGTGTCTATTTTCTATATGTTTCAAGGTTATGGTCATAGAAAATCAAGATCAAATACATCTGTTTAATAGAACAAGTAGTGTTGTGGTATTTCAAAATAAAGTTTATATTTTCAATAAGTATGATGTTTAAATCTGGCTGTTTCTAATAAGTATTTACAGGTTCGGTCCCATCTGGGATGCATAGGATTTCAATTAGAAGGCGTACATAGCAGATGCTTCAAAGTTGTAAGAGGGGGATAGCATTAATATATATGCTTCTTATAACTGCAGAATTAGGTGGTTACAAAATAGCTATAGACCATATAGGATAGCAACTAACATCCTTACACTACTAAATGAGAAAATATATTAATAGATAAATAAAAAAAATAACCTCTTTATTTGAAAAATACTATAAAGGAAAGTTAGGGCATGTCTAAGAGATATAAATTGAATGGAAAATCTTCAATTGCAAATGTTAACTTTTTGCTTTTTACAAAATGAAATGAAAGGCAAAAAGCAAAAACAAAAGAATGAATGCTCACCAAGCTGCTGACGAATCATAAACTTAACAAGAATACTGTTCTCTAAATTTTCTGGAAGCATATATGACAACTATTGAGTTTACTGATCATCTAGATTATTTAAAATTCAATCTGCAGAAGGTATATTTGTGACCACATAGATTTCAAGGGTCTAGAAGCAGTGAGATAGAAAGAGAATGGTGAACAAGGTTTAAGATTAGATCCGTTCTCCAGAAAATATTCTTCTAGAAATCAGGTCAATCATCATGAAACAGGAAATTACTGCAAAAAGAGAAATTATGCAGGCTTGAAAATGATATGTTTTAGGTCTGTTAAATGCCTAAAGTGGTCTATAGCTGTAGTATTCTTTTTTACTTAGCATAATGATTCCAAATTTGTGTGGTCTATCCTGCAAAAGTTCCAATATTTAAAAGGATTGTGAGATTCCAATTACTTTTATCTCTTATCTTAGAGAATAAGTTAGGCAATTAAAGTGGGAAGGGGCATCAATTGTGTGACCATCTTTTATCTTGAAGGAAAATTTTATTTGACAGTTTTTAGGTCAGTCATGCTTTATGGATTTGAGTACTAAACTGTTGAGAACAATATTTACCGAAGTATGTGCAAATGGCATAAGAATGTTGAGGTTGATGTATGGAATTAGTATGAAAGATAATATTTCATTCATGAACAATCAGAAGTAGCATTGAATGAGAAAAAGATGATGAGAATCATCTAAGATTGTATAGACATGTACTAGAGATAATTAACTATAGATGCTGTGAATAGTTCCGGTGAGATAATTAACATTAGTGGTGCAAAAAGTAGAGATCTTAAAAAACTTTACTAAAACCAAAAGTCTAAAACCATGGTTCGCTTTACCAATCCGTACTGGTATACCAATCAATTGTCAGTATGGTACGTACCAGTATACCGATCAGTTGTCAGTATAATATGTACTGAGCTATATCAAATCATACCGAGTGTACCAATATATGATACATGAGGGCATACCATTATACCACCCATATCGGTTCCCTATTGGATCAGTACATACCATCCATATTAAGCAATATGTTACGGTACAACGAATCTTGACTAAAACTATAAGAAAAAATTTAAATACTCTTGTTTAACTAAAGATATTGCCTCCGATAGAGCACAGTGGTGGAAAAAAAAATCCATAGAGCAAACCCCAAATAGTTGCAACATTATTTGTTGTTTGTTGTCTTTAACCAGATTCAAAATTTTAAATCACCGTCCTAGCCGATAAAGCAAATATTTAACCAAACCTGGTGATTTCATCTTGTTCAGTTCAGTATAAGATCATCATACCGAAATTAATGAGGAGTAAATAGGTTGGTACACAAAAGTACTAGACAACAACCTAACACCTGATATCCATGTCCTTTTCTAAGAAAATAATAATGACAGTTCACATTTTCTGTTACCCATCTTCTCTTTCTCTCTCTCCTCCATCTCCACCTCCTCCAACTAAATCTGTATAGATCAATGGGGTTTCAATCTGTATAGATTGAAATGAGGGCAGATGTGCCCAACAGTACCAGTACCAGTATGCTAAAGAGCCGGTATCAGTACTAGACTTATATTTGAAATTTTGGCTTCTAATAGTCGTGCCCAACACAGTTAATGAACTTGCAAGGAATAAAAGTTGAAGCATCTTAACAAGAAGTAATTCTAGTATTAAAAAAAAAATAGTTTTATTTCAGACCTATGGACCCAATATTAATGAAGGTTCCCAGAGCACCATATTCACCCCAATCCATAAATTCCATAATCTTCCGGCTTCCAGCAAGTTGCAATGGCATTCCCGAAAGTGCTCCTTCTCCCATTGAACCTTGAACACAAACCTATTAAACATGAATAAAATCAACCATTATTCCACAACTAAACGAAAACTTCAAATTTAAATTGTGTTAGTCCAGAATTGATGGCCTACTTTGACACGCTTTCCATCATCAGCAAATGAAAGAGCAAGAGTTCGTACAAGTTCCAAAAGGGTTCCTATTCGATAAACATCCTGTGTGGGAAAATGGCTTTGTCATCTTCGAAACAACTATATATAAGAATTACCAATATTCTTACCGTTTCTGGGTTAAGTTCTGGAATGTTGATCTCCACCTGCAACACCAGCAGATCAATAAAATCTATACTAGCAAATTAATTTGCAGAAGAAATACTAGTTTCAGCAAAATAACCCACATGAGAATGGCAAGGATGAAACAAGGTAATAACTAATAACTAATAACTATGAAAGTAAATAGCTAAACTAAACTAGGAGGATTCCACATATGTAATTCTGTTAGCCAGTAAGGAGATCAAACTAAACCACAAACTTAGGATAGGTAACTGATTGGTTCACTAGTGGTACTTATCTGAATGAGAGCCAAATCAGGAATATGGATGAATGATGAAAGAATGAAGGAATCCTAAAGCAATTCAACTGACATGCTAAATTTGGCACAAAGAGAAAGTTCCCTCCTATGATCTCATTTTCATATTGATATATATAATATTGTGACTATAAAAATAGTATAGAATAAAAAGATATCAACCTTTTATGTGAAAATTAGGTTGTTCATGAATGAAAGCATTTGGTGTGAAGAAGAATTTTATAATCTGTTGTGGAGTGGCTCTTCAAAGTCCAATGACGATTATATATCAATTCTTAAATGCTACTCTTTACTAGAAAAGAACCAACTCCCTTCTTTCCCTGTCTCTATTGGGCGAACCTTTTCAAAAAATCATGAGCACTAATGAAACTATGACACCTATAATCATTTAAGCATCAGAGTGCCTTATGCCAAATTGAGTGCACCAAGAACAAATTAAAAGAAGAATATGAAGTAATTGGAGAGTAAGCATATACAGGAATATTAAGAACATATTTTGTATGATTTAAAAAAGGTAAAATTTCCTTGAGGATTGGAACTGATTCTGTATAGATGAGAATATGATAAGAACTTTCCTAAAAGAAGATAAAAGATCTAAGACACTTAGTAAAAGAGAGATTAATCACTCAACTTATACACATGTTTCAGCTATGAACCAGCCAGTGTCCTGAATGGTAGTCTCTAATGATAAAAATCGAAAGATGAATTGCATCATAGAGCATTAGCAATTGAAGCGTCATACAGGTGTATCAATGGCAGGGGTAGGACTGAGAGGCATGAATAATCGAAGACAGCATGGTTAGAAGTCAGCACATTATGCCACCCAAGCTAATGGAACCAAGAAACAAGTTCACCTATTGAAAAATATCTAAACAAAGTAAAGCAAGACCTCCTCTAGGGAGATTTAATCATTCCCAAGTCAGGAGCATAAATCAGAGGCAAGTTAAACCATGAATAGATCTTGACATTAAATTATAGGTCTTAACTTGTGAGCGAAAACAAGGTCAAAATTTCAGATTGCACAAGCAAATAGACAAGACAAGTAAAGAATATCTTGATTTGTTATAAACTGGATCAAATATTCTAAACTTTAACAAGAAGAAATAGTTACAAATAGCTGACCTTCAATCTACGTATTTTGTCTTCTATAGCATTTTGAGTAGCTTGCAGCACATCATCATAGAAATATTTCCTTATCTCCTTGGAATGAGGAATATTATTCAACCTTGTAGGAATACCTCGCCAGTTATCCTGGGGGGAGCATTTGAAGCAAAAAAGAAATTTATGCAATCAGCTAACACATTATTATGAACCAGTTGCCAACAATTGTAGAGTTTACTAAATTAACAAATTTATATGTACCCTGCTTGAAGCTGCCAGTTTCAGATTGCTATTTGAGTTTCCTAGAAAGGAAAAAAAATGCAACAAGAGATCATAATTTGTGATTGTTCCAAACATAAATGACAATTAAAAGTATTTTATATTTCTAGACAATAAAAAATATGGGACAATAAGGAACATAATTGTCTTATTAAAGCATAAACAAAACAATCTTTGCTTGAGAGTTTTAGGGTAAAACACAAGCATATAATTTAATCAAGCAAAATGTAAGTTGCTTAGCATGTAAAATTCTTCATCCTTAGGACTTATACACTATAAACTATAAAGGATATTTGATATCTTTTACATAAGAAGTCTAGTTCTGCAAATAAAGGACAATAATTACTTTATGTTTCGGGTGCTTGACTGGCTTTAATCTAACCTTGACTATGCATATATCATCTATTATGTGTTTGCTTTTAGGAAGTTCTCTTTTATTCCTAAAAGCGGAGTAAAGGGCCCAGTAGGTCTTTTTTGTGAAAAGTTAACGTAAACTTATGTCATCCAGTGATATAATAAGTAGTAATCTGTTCATTTACAGAAAGTTCTATAAATCCTAATAACTAGAATTCTGCAAACCATTAATAATAAAATTGATCTATTTGTTCCTTCTCTAAACCCAGGATACAAAGTAGGACTTCGAGAAGAACTAAGAGAGACAACCATATAGAGAAAGGATAATTCTTCTGTTGCAATAAATGCAGTTAAGGAACAACATTGCCATATTTCAAACCCAAATGATTACTGCTGATTCTCTCTTAAAATTGCCACTAAATAAAATGGACCCAGGAAATAAGGGATTTTATAATGTGAGGCTAAATGAAAGGCCAAATGGATTCCAATTAGCTATTTACATAATGAGTACCATCTTGCTGTTTTTTAATGTCATTTTTCTGCCTCGTATTTCATTATCCCTGATGCAATTTTTTTTCTCATGCTTAAACCTGCTGCCCCTAACTTATAGATGTAAAATTCTACAAAGATATGAAGAAATAGCATAACTGAATTGTTTTAAAAGAAATACACCATTCTTCCGAGGTAAAATATAGTGAAGTACAAAAGATTCTGTAAAGGCCTTATAAAACAACAAGCTCATGATCAACTCCCATCCTATAAGAAAACATAGGTGGAAACTGTCATGCCCTATAGTTTCAGAAGTAGACAAATGATATTAATCATTTAAGACCATTCACAGATATATGTTGGTTTAAGCCAATATCAATATCAAGTGCAACCATCTTATCCCTTCATTAAAATAAAATTTAATATCCACAGGTTATAATGGTTTTCTGATTATATACTTATGTAATTAAAGTTTCATTGTATTGCTTCAGATGATGAAGCTGCAACTGACTAGTAGTATTTGCTTGTGGCCTTGTAAGTTATGTATTTACCATTAGTTACCTCCAAGGTCTTGAACTTTACAGCATCAGTACGAATCTTCTGCAGCAGGGCATCAATTTCTTGAAATACAATCTCTCTCGGACGATTTCCATCAACCTATATTATTGGCATTTTTTATATAAGATTTTTTTGCTCAAATTTCTTATAAAATTTATACACCACCTGAAGTAACAAACACCTTCTGCAGCAAGTCAAAGTATGTCGGCAAGATAGCATCAGAATTCCGTTTATATGTCTCAAGACGTGATCTAACCTGGCCATATAAAAGAATCTACACTTAGATGACTTGGTTTTAAAGAAATAGTGAAATAAACTTCTGATGTACAATGATATCCAAAATTCTAGGAATGCATAAATTTCTCGACGACAATTTTAACTCATGTGCCTGGTGGACTCATAAAGCCTAATGCATCATACATAAAATACTCAAAGTTACAGGATGAAGAGGCTTGCAATATCTAGAGAATGTTTGAAGGGAAACAATTGCAACATGAATAACCAACAAAAAATGTTTTAAAAAGAGAGAGAAATTATTCTTTTCAAATGACACCACCTTTGGATTTTTTGACAGCATTTATGTCAATGTAGAATTAGTAAGCTGACATGAAATTTGCAACAGCAACCCAGGAGCACTAAGACTTGAGAAAAAAATTTCCCACAAGCGATTTACCACCAATAGGGAAACTCTACATATGATTAATGTAAAGCATAGTGGATTAAAGCACATCATGAGAAGAAAAAAACTTATAAAAGTAAGTTAAATGGTAGGAATAAAAAAGCCATGAAAGAACCAGAAAAGCCATCAACTTATCACCAAACAATCATATATGTTATAATGAAGCATAGGAAAATGTCTTAAATATTGTTGGAAAGGAAACAACTTGTTCTGGTTGTCATTTTCATTTAAATAACACTTTTGATAGTCATTATATATTATAACAATCACTGATTTAACCAATTTATCAATGAAGCTGTATGGTACAATGGTATAATTTGGTGTACCACCAAGAAAATAATAAAAATATGCTTCATTTGCTGGCACTACTTTGGTATGGCAGCATACTGTGTACCATTATAAGGTCAGACTGGTGAATCCATTGAAGATAGCCAGTATGGTCTTGTATCTAAACCCTAATTTAAATTAAGTTAAATATTTTGCCACTGGTTTCAACTAGTTTCCTTTGGAAAAAAAGCAAATAGCAATACGTAGCATGAAAAACAGTGAAAAAAGAAAGGTTGACCTTTTCCTGAGTATCATCAGTTCGAGTAATCAATCGTGCAGAAATTTCTTCTGTCTCAGGAGGAAAGTTCTTAAGATGGTAAATCTTGCCACTAACTGGGTCCATCCTTCTTCCAACACATCTGTCGATTAGAATTTCATCAGGAACCTGAATGTTAACAGGTAAACTATGAAAAGTCAAAATGCCAAGGTCATGGGTCAGCGAAGCAGATCAACTAAATCTGAAATTAATTTAATTCGGAGTATACACAGTTACCTTGTCAGACTTCTAAGATACCTATCATACTGTAAACATATGTTAAATTACTTTTGGTCTAACTCTACAATATAACTGAAAAACTAAGCACAAATGTTCACTATTCAATAGATTCCAGAGTAATTCAACAAGGAAGATTTGATTTTACATATGTAAATCTTGTGTTTATCAAGTTACGGGGTAATTTTCAAAAGAAGATGAATACATGGTGATTTCTTCTCCTTTAAATTTGCTTACATGTAAATGGTGAATAATGATGATAACATGTAAACCACACGCCCTTCTTTATTCAATCATTTGCTCGGATTTCCGGCTAAGCAGCATAACCATTCATCTTCAAACTATATTACATGGCATGCTAATTCATCTGTTCTTCACTTATTCCTACTCACAGTATTCTATGTGCTGTGTACCAATTAAAAAACCAGTCAGACCAGTAGGTAGGTGGACCAGGCAATTTTGCAGTCTGAAACAGAGATTATCATGCAGTAACCTTAGGGTTCCGGGCTTACCATCCAGTTTCAATGATAAAAATTGGAGGTACAAAGGATAAGCCTACCGCCCGATACGCCTATCTTTTCCCTATCTTTTCTTTTGTGACAACTTCTTACAATTGTCCCTTTTTTCAATTTTCTCTTTTTTCTTTTTTCATAGAAGCTCCTCTCTCTTTCCATTTATTTCTCCCAAAAACCCTCTCTTCCCATTTATTTCTCCCAAAATCCCTCTCTTCCCTACTCCTCTGCTCTTCATTGTCCTACTTGTCACCCCGCCATCACTACCACAGTGTGATGGCAGATCATCACTTCCTACTCCCCCTCACTCCACCTCCTCCTCATCTTCCTCCTTCCTCTTTCTCTTTGGCATGTCCACCATACCATGTGCCGGTCCAATGGTATATACCAAATTTATACTGTTCCAACCAGCAACTGGTACATACCAGATCCATAACGGTCTAACCAATGACGGGCACAAGTCTCGAACCATGACTTGAAGCCTTGTAATGTACATTAGCTCAACTATGCAAACTAGCCTAACACTATTAGACACTACAACTGTTTTAAACATATGATAATCAACCCTTGCAATTCTGATGTAATGTGCATCAATGTGTATTTTTCCTAAACGATTCTCTGTTATTCATATCAACTCATGTATTTCTGCATGCATAGACCTTATACATAAGAACTCTCACAATTTAAGAACTGAATAAGCTTGAACTTTAATTATTTAAGAATCTTTTAGCTCTAGAGGAAAATATTAAAAGAATTATACTCTAGATATGTACCATGAATCAGAATGAAAAAAATGAAAGATGGAATTCAGCTATGTAAAACATAAGATTTCATAACAAACATTTAATAGCATCCAGATACTATCACCTTGATCAGGAACTACAAGATTTCCTAACTCAGACAACTCAAATAATCATTCCATAGCTGTATTGTTATTTGGTTGAAAAGCTTAACAGACGAGCAGTTAAGATCTTTTAGGTACCGACTAGCAATATGGACATTTGTTGACACACTTCTCTAGCATCGGAAACTTAAATTTTACCACTAAAATGAATCAATTTTATCTAACAAAAATAAATAATTTCTTTGCAACTATACTTGACATACTTCAAGGACAATGAATATGTCTGGTCTTATTTTCATCCTTTCAAGACTCCCTGCTTGTGAAGAACTTCTTGGATATCCATCAAGGAGCCATCCTTTCTCTCTCACATCTTTTTGTGATAACCGTGAAACAACCATCTGTCATAGATCAGATCAGTTAGAAGTTACTGGAATGACATTTAGAGAGTGCAACATGCTTGTGGTGTACCATACATCAGTAACGATTTCATCCGGGACAAGCATGCCAGTGTCCATGTATTCTTTTGCTTTCTTTCCAATTTCTGTTCCTGATGATACTTCCGCTCGCAAAAGATCTCCAGTAGAGATGTGCACCAAACCATACTGGAATATGGATAACATGAAAAAGGAAATGTCTTGAAAAGCCACAAACTATTAACCACAAAACTTGTTTCCATGAGTTCCAAGAACAAGAATCTGATCTTATTTAACATTACAACTGAGCGCATACATTTAGGATGCCAGTGAAAGAATTATACGGAACAAATATACGAACAAATCTGAATTTCAACTCCCAAAAATAGTTTCACAACAAAAAAAATGTAAAACATGGCACATATATGTATTAGGAGTGAGATTGCGTGGTAGATTGTCTTCAAATGAACCAAAACTTGAACCCACTTTTGCAGTCTAGCTTCTCAAGACAAATAAATTATGCCCTTTATGTTCCTAGTCAGGGCTGCACCTAAAATCATGAAATGTTTTCTTTCTTATTTTACATTTTGCTTTAAATTGTGACAACTACAAAATCCGGAAATATGTTTCCTATGGTAACATTAGACTGGGTTGTAGTTTCATTATATCTATAGTAGCAACAAACATGCTGCAATTTTCAAGATGAATACAACTGGACTGAATATCAATGGAGAAGCAATTTCTTAAAGGTGAACATGTTGCAGTTTCAAGGTGAACACTAGAGAGTTGAAGAAATATCATTATCAGATCAGATGCTTTGGAAATTATCGATTATCTTAATAAAAAAGCTCAGGTGTCTTGGAGCTTAGGATAAATCCTGCAAGTCACTTTGTCGCTGGGAATGCAAGGTTGTCAAATTTTATCATCTTAGTAAAATGTGAATTTGTTTTGCTAATTCTGGATGCTCACATGAGTTGGCTCACTCCTGGGAAGCAGACTTACATATTTTTTTTGTATTCTGAATTGATTGTCTCTTTAAAGCAGTGCTAATGAAGCTTATTTTATTCCAAAAATAAATGTGATGTAGTATGAGTGCCAGCGAATTTTTTTTCTTGATAGTAGAGGAATAGAAAGAGAGAAAAAAAGTTAGTAACCGAAAGACAATAGAAAAATAAAAGGATACTACCAGACTCGTTTTGGCTCAAGGAGAATACTCCTAAGATAAAGGCCTCACACCTCTGCACATGCCACACATGGACAATAGAATTATTCTATCGAGAAAGCAAGTTGTGGCCTCGCACCACTCATACACAACATGGGAAAATAACTCAATTCATTGATTTGTTTTCTTATTGATGCATTACAATGTTCTAGCCCCTTTTTATAGGCTCAAGTACAAGAATAAAAAGGAAAATACAGAAATAAGAAAGATTACAATTGTATTAAGTCAAATATATAATATGTTCCAATTGAAGAAGGTAATAATTCTAATTTGGTTTGAAAAATAATCATCCTCTCCTGATGATATTCTTAATTGATAGATTTTTATATTTGTAGAGATAAATCTTTAGTCAAGATTCACAATATTCAATCAAAAATAAATTTAATTTCTTTCATGTTTTTACATTTGCTTCCTTTGTCTCCCTGTTGAGTAAATGTTGTCATATGATAATTTAAAAGATCCCTAAACTAATTAAATTTATGTAAATAAAAGATAAACTAATTGGTTCCACATCAACATGAGTGTACGATTAAACTGTTGGAGCACTTTTAGACATGTTCACCTTGAAACATGCATAATCAATATTTTTGCTCTCATTCAAACTGGGTCACCTCCGTAAACGGTCATAATGAAAAACAATCACCGATCAAGCAAATAAATAACAATGATGGATAACAAAAAGATAAAAGAACCGACCTTCTCTACGAGCATCTGACACTGAGTTCCTTTCCCGGACGCGGGAGCCCCAGAGATCATCACCTTCAGCGGCTCCGTCGCAGCACAAACTACCACCCCTAAACCCTGCCCAAGTAACAAGCGACAGCAACATCAACACCCGCAGCAAAGATCTCCAAAACAGTTAGGAAGCATCAGAGACGCCTAAATAACAGACCCTCGTCTTAGGATTTCGCTTCGAATAACGGTTCCCGGACAGGAAACAGAGCGAATGAGAGAGGCGAAGAGAAGGGCGAATAGGAGATAAGGCGGAGGAAGAGGAGGGAGGAAGAGTGGCGAGAGCCGGGGCGGAGGGTCGACGGCGGTGGTTTATGGCGATCCCGGTGGCTGTGGCGGTGGCCATTGCGTTACTTTGCTCTCTCCGTCCCTCACCCTTCCTCGGCGGTTTCCGAGGGCTTCTTTATATGGCTGAGACGGGAGGGAATGTGGAGGATAGATGATAACGATCAGCTTTGAACCACTACTTCCTTTGCATCCACTTGGATCTGCTACAAAGCTTACAGTAAAGTCGGCATACAAGACACGGTTTCTACTGATTTGATACCGTCGGATCGAGAATAATTCAACTCTGTAAACCCAACTTAATCCCACTAATTATTCTACTTACAATGGTTTTCTTTTTTTATAAGATAATTATTTATTTTTTAATAAAATGTAAGTGACAAAGGTAGAATGCATGTCTATAACATTTAAACTGTCAAATATTTACCGATTAAACTAAATGAGTTTGATACACTATAATCAAATCGGGCGAGATTTCGAACCTTTACTCTTTGATAAACGAGTATGTTATTATAAATGATATTTAAACTGTTAAATATTTACCGACTAAACTAAATAAGTTTGATACACTATAATCAAATCGGACGAGATTTCGAACCTTTACTCTTTGATAAATGAGTATGTTATTATAAATGAATCCGATATATCGTCACCAAATCAATATTTAAGATATTATATTTATTTATTTTATGAGATTAGGATCCAATAATTAATTATAAAAAAATAAAAACTAAAACATCAACAAATTAACTTACGATTTGTTTTTAAGATATCAAAGCTATTTTTATTATTTTTATTTTCATATCAATACGGCTATGAAGAGAAGAATACTTTCAGCCACTAATACTTTCTCTAATAGTATTGCACAACTAGGATCATTTTGGTATCATATTCTACAAATATAAATCCAACTCCATATTTTATAATCTCCCATCCTTTTAATCTTATTAATTTTTACTATTACAAAAGAATTGTTAGAAAATGAATGATAAATTTAATGTTCATCATAGCAAGAGCATACTAATGCCACAAAAAACAATCGGCTATTCAACTCTCAAACAATTACAGATGATCATACCAGAACTTGTTTAAGTACAAGGCATAAGCTTCCATTGACAAAAAACAATCTGCTATTCAACTCTCAAACAATTACAGATGATCATACCAGAACTTGTTTAAGTACAAGGCATAAGCTTCCATTGACAAAAACTATCACACACACTGTCCTTCGAAGGCCAAAAGGAAAGAACTTTCTATAACATATCCAAAGAACAAATGATGGTTGCAACAAATACAATCAATGATGTAATTTTTGTGTGACCAAAAAGTATCGAGTCAATTGTGTCCTCCAAATTATGATCTCCATCCATGCAGAAAAAATCTGTAGAGACAGCAACCAGCTCTTGTTAAAGAGAGATTTAGGTAGAAAACAAGACATTAACATTTAAGAAAGAATTTTGTATAAAAATACTTTTGTTGATTCCAGAAAATAGCTAAAACAGAAGAGTGCAATTTATTATGCAACCAGGAAAGAAGGCACTGCCTAATTAGTAGTAATGTAGAAATGCATTTGAAGGGAAATAACAAGGTACACAAATCAATGCCTCTGAACCAATCTAGGTGCAAGTTATGAGACTGCATTAAACTGAAGCACTAAGCATTGCCAAAACCTGTCAATACAGCCAATAATTGGTTTACAGGATGAGTGACTATATAATCTATATTGCACATAATTAAACAGCTTGAAATTCACATACAGCTTTACTTATATGTATCATAACTGTCCATATTTGTTAGTAGAACTAATTGAAGGGCTAAATTAGCTGCCTGATGAGAAGGATCAAGATGGCCTCACTAGAAAGAAAGGGATCCATAAAAGCCATACTTCAGCATTCAAGATTTGATGAGCCATTCTTGACTTCAGACACTGTTTTTCCTCTATATACTGGTCAGTGCCAAACTGTTTCATGCACATGCTAAGTGCATAAATCTGCTTCTTTAGTTTTAGCATAATTTTGAATTAGAATAACTTGAGGATAATGAACTCCAATAACTTGATCTCTCCAGTCTTATAAGCCAATAAAAAAAAAAACCCACCCCAAGACCACTGAAAAAAAGCTCATTCTAGCATATCAAGCATCTGTAGAAGCACTTACAGAATGTATGTCTGAAGTCGAGGGCTTACAGATATGCTCTCCAAGAGAAGACTACTAATTTTTGACAAATGAGTCTAGGAAATACAAGCCAAATAATTACTTTATAGGTTTTAGTTCTTTTGTGAAATGTCAAAGAATAATTTAAATATGGATCAATTGTATAAGGTTGATAGCAGATATTAGAAAAGAGAATTGATTTAGTAATAGCAGATTATATATTTAGATTGTAAATAACATATATAACAAAATAATTAACTCAACCAAATTAATAAACAAATTAGCTATCAAAACAGAGGCAAAAGTTTTACTTATATGCACCTTAGATGACAGAAAGACAAAAGGCTTTCATTGATCTCATGTATTTTTTGACAGACGCTGGTAGATATGTATCATATATTTTCCATCATACGATACAAATTTGGAGCCTTCTGGTGAAACAATGGCTCAAGTCGAAAAGATGGCAAACCATCCATCCCCCTTTTAGCATCATACATCTCATTCCATGCCTGAACCACCTCATCAATCTTAAGGGAAAACCCTGCAATCATGAAAAGGCACTTAGCAATTTGATCAATACTGCAGTGAGCAGACACGTGAGTGCCTATTTGGCATTTGTGATTGCTTAAAGATACAAGAACACAAAAATGCAAGTTGTCCAAAAGGCTAATGAGTCATTACTCTTTTAAAGTTTCACATGAGCAGTGCTAGATCAAATCATACGAACAGAAATTATGGAATATCAAATCACATCTGCAAAATCAGAACACAAATATTAAAGACACTCGTTAATGATATTGTGGATATTAGTTGGTGATTCTTTATATTTATTTTTTATTGTAATCATCCCATGTTCTTATCATGTACAATCAATTAACTTTTTCTATAGGTCTTACATTTGATTGTTGAATTTGCCAATTTGGTTGAATTTGGTTTCTATACAAGTGTATAGTCATATAACATAAAACATATGAGTGAATAGTACCTCTTGTTCCTTCCCGGTATCAGAGCAATTTAAAAGAACTAGGGGAATATAAAACGGTTGCCAAGAACATGAGAATTGTTATTCACACATATATTTTGTGTTACATGACTATACACTTATATAGGAATCAAATTCAACAGTAAAAGATAAGACATATAGAAAAGACTAATGGATCATACATGGTAAGATATATGAGATGATTACAATCAAGAACAAATATAAAGAATCACCAATTAATATATAAATAATCCTTCATAATATCATGAATGAAATATTTACGTGATCTCTATAGATGTGATTTGATATTCCTGATTTACGTAATCTCTTATGATTTGATCTAACAAGCAATGGTATTAATACCTTGGCTTATTGGTTGTTTGTGAAAATCATAAAGCAGTAGAAGAACATGGAAAACCATGTTTAGAGAATTTAAATTGAGGTGTGCAGTAGTACCATAACATGATACATAATGAACTGAGATATATTCTAAAAGGGACTAGTCTTTCAAGACTTGCACCTGCAGATTTGAGGTGTCGAATAAATGCTTCATCATACTTTGGAAAAACAAAATCAAGGAACAATATTAATAAGAGATACTTTTTACCTTCTTGGGCAGTTGCATTGGCACAGTGGTTTCTTATAATAACAGCAACATTAGCTGAGGAAACTCCTGCAAGTTTCAATTTTTCCACAGCTGCCATGAGACACCCTTCCCACGTGGGAAGACCTAGTTTGAATTCCACAGCAGAACGCTCAGAGAGCATAGAGCCCCATAGCATGTTTATCTGAGATCTCATGTTAGATGTCTGTTCCGTTGCTGCTTCTGTTGGCAGCTCTTTGAAATAACCATTCATACCCATCTTCTCCAAGAGGCCTCTTAATTCTCTAGGCTGGGTCAATTCCTTCAATTGCAGCTCTTCCATCTTTTCCCACATCTCCGTGCCCTTTTCCATGTTATACTCGGCATCATTGAATAACCCAAAGACTTCTGCCGAAGGCCAAACATCTAAGTCTATGTTGCTTCCAATAGCATAATACCAAGAAAGCTTTGCTTGCTCAAACTGTTGCTGAGCTAGTGCAAAATGCCCTTCATAGAAGTCAGGATTAGTTTTCAAGGCTTCTTCATATCTCTTGCCTGCCTTAATATATTCAGCATGAGCCCACTTGTATGCCTCTTTGACCCTTTCAAGTACAGATTCCTTGGAGGCATCTTCTGACAAGAACAACTTTTTCCTTGCTCGAGACATATGAACATTTCCCCAATTAAACAATGCAAGAGCCACCATCTCTTGAAATTTCCCCTCAGCAAGTTTAAGAATTTCTTGGGCTTCTTCACTCGTGACAGTATCTTCTATTGCCTCAGAGTACAGCTTGATACCAAGCTCATGAAGGTTCAGATATGCATCAGAACTGAAACCCAACTGGTTCTTGAATAACTGAGCAAACTGCACGATCCAGTCATCAATGTAAGTTGACAAGCTCTTCTCGTCAGAATTTCCGCTTCCATTTTCTGAAATGTCAACATAATTTCTTCCCTGCCCTTTCAATGAAGAACTAGTTTCTATGTCTGCAAGCCATGGTTCATTCTCAGGACTAACTTCTGTTAGATAAAGCCTGAGTGAACCCTGAGGATCTGCAGATTCTTCAGCCCACCTTAGCTCTTCAGATGTAGTGATCGTCACCAAGTCATCCTCTTTGTCCTTGTACTTGATAAGGATGGCCTTTAAATTAGGGAATTTTTTACCAACAGTCTCTCTCAGATGTATCATGCTGCAATCAGCTGGTATTTGGGCCCATCTTATATCATCCCCTAAGACTAACTTCACTACCCTTATAGGTTCTTCCTTAACTTCAACATGCTTCTCTGTCATCGCCTTCTCCTGTGCCTTGCGGCTCTTCTTCTTCTTCTTCTTCTTTGACCTTTCTTTCAGAATCACTACTTCCTGCAGTGAAACAACGGCACTGTCATCCGATATGATGTCTTTCTTCTCCATCGCCTTCCTTACCCTGTCAGAAATCTCCTAGGCTGTGAGGAAGTTGGGCTCCAAACTCAGAATTACAAGCCAACTCCAATTTATTCAAGACTTCAAACTACCTAGCTTCTCTTGGAAGGGATTTACTATACTTGGGAGATGCCTCGACGGCAAGATTACATTCCCCTATCTCGGAAAGAAAGGCAACCTCCGAGACTTGTTCACCAGTAGAATCAAAGATCTTTTTTTCGACTCCAAATCGATGATCAGTGAGGCGCAAAAGTTTCGGAGAACAAACAAATCAGGATCAAGGATAAAGAGAGTAAGTACTATGAGAAAGCAGAAAAAAAGGGACTTGGTCACAACAGCTAGTTTTCCACAATCGAATAGCTATGAAACCTTAATCCCGCATCAAAGATCTCATCTTTCTCTCTCTAATTCACTAGAACAGCCCTCAAAGATTCTCCAACTAATATAACAGCCCTCAATAAGATTTGCTTCAAACTCCCTACCCGCCAATGAAAACCTAAACTTGCACCCAGAAACCAAACTATTCCTACAGAAATTTAGAAAAGAGCTTCAGGCAAGTGCGGGATCAAAACTTATCTTAGATTTTTCGTCTTCCTTCTCCGCGAGGACTGAATCTTTCGGCTAGAGCGAGGGGTTCTCTCCGAGGAAATCGACGCCAAGAAGAAACCACCCAGGACGAAATAAAAATCCCGCCTTTCCCTTATCGAACAACCGCCTCTACTCCTGCGAACCAGAATCTCCACCTACCAACTTCGGCACACGCAAAGCAATCGCTTCTTCGCCGTGTGGCATAGAGAGGAGACTTGGAGAAGACGGCATCAAAAGGTTCTTCCCAACCGCCTCGCTATTTCGTGGTCTCGGGATAACGAATCCAAGCGGGCTGTGGTATCCTCGTGCTCCCATGACTTCTGGGGATCGATACGGAAGAGCCAACCAAGTGGAGACAAATGGAAAGCGAGAAGTGGGTTTCCCATTATTCAATTGAACGCTTCTCTCGAGCATTGACCCGTTGGTGTGTACCGGAAGAACTCGTGTTGAAGAAGAGTAACGGCATGTGCACTTTTGAAACTTTCTTTTCCGAAGAACACTTCGAGGAAAAGAAACCATGCCTTTGACTGTTCTTGTGTCGACCAAGTCAACCAATATGGGAAAATAAGTTTTTTTTAAATCATATTTGATATATTTAAATATTTAAATATTTAAATATTAATAATATTTTGTATTAGTATTTTAGTATTTATGAAATGTTAATATAATTTTTTTTTTAATTTCTAAAATTACTTTATGATTTTATCTAAAATTATAAGATTGTCAAAAATAATTTAGTGAGAAAATAATATTTTTTTAATAAAATAAATAAAATTTTTATATTTATTTATATAATTATATATTTATTTATAATATATTTGGACCATACAAATACTTTTATGATTACATACATTCATTTTTTTTATTTATTTACTTTATTAATTTAAATAAAAAATATATATTTACTTTTGAATAAAAAATAAAAATATTAATTTGTCATAAAATACTTAATGAGCTTTTAAAATATAATTTTATTAAACGATACATCGATACATCTTTAAAATATAAATTTTTTTCCATAACTATGTATTCATTTATTTTTTTCTAATTATAAATTAAAATATATATTTTCAAGCATAACCACCATACGAAGACCTGTGAAAATATTAAAGAAATGAATGAAGAAAGAAGAAGAAGAAAGAGAGAAGTGAGAAAAATCTTCAACCCCATTTGTTTTTTTTCTGGTTTTGTTTACCTTTGTGAGTTTCTCTTATTCGGTTTCTCATATTACAAAAGAAAATACTCCTACCCAAGACTCTTACTCAAGACTCATAATAGGACTTATACTTAAGACTTCTATTCCTTTACATGCATATCCGACTCATTGATATCCATTCTTTACATCTATCATAAATTGCGATGATCTCTTACTAACAGGTTCACTTTTGATCGTGGATAATGTATTTGACTTCAAAGTCTTATCAACCCTACGTTTACTCGATGAAAGAAACGAGTTGACCAAATATGTCCATCCCCGATTCGGATGTACTATTAATCTAAAATGTTTGCCTATGGGCTTAATTTTATTGGAAATGATGAAGACCAAATGTTTGACAAAAGGTGCTTATTTAGGTTGACTTATTTTATTGTAAGAAAGGAAGAACACATCCATTCCCACAATACTGCACTCACGATTAAAGCTACAACACCAAACTAAATCGACCTTACTGTGACTGCATCCTCAACTACAGACCATTTCCTGAACACAAACACAGACTTATTCTTGACACACTACTTGCTCTCAGTAGCTAATTCACGACCCTGCAGCACCTGCGGACCTCGGCCTCGCTCCCTGGCGGCGGCGCCAGCCTCCCCATCCTCACCATGGAGACCGCAAAGTCCTCGTAGAATAGCACCGGGTCCATCGCATAGGCCTGAACGAGGCTGCCGACCTCCCCGCCCCCGTTCACCAGCACCTGGTCCGACGGCAGGAGCCCCTCCCCCGACAGCAGGTTCACGTAGTACTGATTGTCGAAGGTGGCCGGCGTGGCCAAGTCGAGGTGGGCTAGTGTCCCGTTGGAACCCGCGCAGAGCTGCTGCAGTGACTGGAGGAAGATACGGTCGGCGGCGGCGTCGGCGATGCCTCCCCCGTTGAGCCGAGATATGAACGACGAGCACCGTGCCTTTCCTATCGTGTGAGCGCCTGGACATTGACAGCTTCGAGATCAGAAGTTGGGCTGTGGGAGACGAAGGTAGTAGAAGTCGGTGGGGGGCGTGTACCTGAGAGAACGACCATGTCCTTCGTGGAGAGGCCGAGGTTTTGGAACTTCTGGACGAGGGTGGCAACGTCGGACGTCGGAGCCGGGATGTTGGCGGTAGCCATCGAAAGGCTGGCAGTAACGCCGTCCCTCCGTCCCACCTCCACCACCCATGTTGGTCCTCCTGACTGCAACACGGAGTGCAATGAGATTGTGACCTTGGCTTAGCCGAGCAAAGACTCATCGAGTTTTGGGAAGCAGAAGAAACCAGCACGACGGAGTCTCGAGCCGCAATGGCGAGGACATCAGCACAGGAGACAGTATCAGGACACGCCATCTCTAGCTCGGTCTTGATTCCGTCGACGACATCGAATCCCCTCAGCGAGTTCAAGTTCGGGCCGGCGGTCTTCTCCCCCACAAGATTTGGGGTGTCATCGAGAAGCACCGAAGCATCACAACCCTTGGAAAGAAATCATAGACAAAGCATGTTAGTCTCGGGCTTTCTGTTTGGTTTCAGGACGAGATTACACTCACGTTAACAAAGCAGTCGTGGAAGTGAAGGCGGAGAAGGGAGGCGGCCATGCGGGGGTCGCTCGCCATGGCTTGTTGCACTCCGGAGAAGATAATGGCTTCTGCCTGCGGACAACTACTGATATAAAAGTCGAAGTTTAGGGAACCACCGTCAAAACCACCGCTACCACCACCGCCACCGACACCTATGCAGTCTTTGGACAAGGCATTGAGCTGGCCGGCTACAACAAGTACAAGAATAGCACAAACTATGATGGTAACCATCGCTTCTTGTGAGTGAGAAGCCTTAGATATTGTTGCGACTTGTGAAGCAGAAGACACCCATAGCTTCTGCTTATATAAAGACAAACCAGAGAGAGAGAGAGAGAGAGAGAGAGAGATGCAAGTATGTTGTCTTTGACGTGAGTAGGTCACCCAGGACCATCGATGGAAGTAGGAATGGCGAGGAATAGAAACAACGTCGAACAAGTCATTCGGTTCATGCTAGTGGCTGACGAGGGTAATCTCAAGTGATGCACTTAACAAAGGAGCTTGCAGGAAGCGGGACTGCACATTAGGTGAGCCAACAGAAGAAAGCATCTGCTCCCCACACACCATCATTTCACGTCTGCCTCTGTACTCTGCACAGTAGCTGAAAGCTTTTGATTTTGCTGCAACATCCATTAACGATCAATCCATTAATGAACTTGAAGCACCTTATAATAATGTGTTTGTGTATTGGTACCTGAATCCACCTTTTCTCTGCCATGATGAACGAAAGGTTGACTCCTTCAACTTCTATTAGCGAAGTAGTGCAGTCGGTGAAACCGTCTCGTCCTCTGTTGACATATCAAAGGGAAAAGTGGCATGTGAGTAGCAGATATGGTGAGCTCAATGTGGCAGAAACTTCAACAACTATAGGCCATGGGAGGGGAGAGAGAGAGAGAGAGGCTGCATGCAAAACATGAACTACTTTGAATGCGATGATAACTGTGGCTTTAGGATATGAGATGGCAGCTAATAGATTCGAGAATGACATCTTTGTTCAATAATGCTTGATGTCATAGCATTAATGATCTCCCAAACTATTTACCAGTGTACTTAAATGCATCACAAGATTATGCAACCGATACTTCTTTTCTCTATGGATCTTAATGAATCCAACTTCTACAAGATACGACCTTTTCTTGCAATCGTGGAGACTCAGACTCATCAGCCATGACCAGAGGCAAGAAACTTGTTGTCTTCGTGGGCCTCCACTGCATATCCTTGAGACACGTGCAGTGCACATGTCATGGTCTATACTTTTATGTCACGTGCCATGCACGTGCACATACCGTCGACTCGCTGTTCGTCTGACGATTGAAGATAACGGATCCAGTAGAGATAAGAATCCGACCCGATTTGAGCACTACATGAACGATGTGACAACCGCATAAGGTCCGAAGCCTTGTACTCGACGACGCTACGCTCCATCGACTCGATCCTTCGGGCCCCCCCCCCCACACTTCGATCTCCCCTTCTCCCGACCTACTCGAAATGGCGGCCACCTTGGCCCCCGCCGACCGCCTCGCCGCCCCCTCCCTCCGCATTCACCACCCCTCCTCCCTCTCCCGCCGCCTCCTCGTCCCTTCTCGCCTCCCCGCCACCTCCCTCTTCCCACACCGCCGCCCGCGAGTCGTGGCTATGGCCGTCGAGACCGGCGGCGCGAACTCCAAACCCAGGGTCCTTGTCGCCGAAAAGCTCGGCGAGGCCGGGCTGGCCCTTCTCAAGGGCTTGGCCGACGTTGACTGCTCCTATAACCTCTCCCCCGAGGAGCTCCGCGCCAAGATCGCGCTCTGCGATGCCCTTATCGTGCGGAGCGGCACCAAGGTCGGCCGAGATGTTTTCGAGTCCTCCGGTGGCAAGCTCAGGGTGGTCGGGCGCGCTGGGGTCGGGATCGACAATGTGGATCTCGCCGCCGCCACCGAGCATGGCTGCCTCGTGGTCAATGCGCCCACCGCGAATACGGTTGCTGCAGCCGAGCATGGGATCGCCCTGCTCACCGCTATGGCCCGCAACATCGCGAGATCTGATGCTTCCATGAAAGCTGGTCGAACCTTTCTTTCCTTTTGATAGTTTCGATAGACGAAAAAGACAGCTTTTCTGGTTCCACTTGCCTCTCTCTCTCTTTAATCGTTTAGCTCATGACAAAAAGGAAAAGTTGCCGATTCCATCTGATCTTTGGCTGACCACTATGGTAGTTCGTGATCACGGATTCTTTCTTTTTCTCCTTCACCGATTGTTGAGAAATATATGAAGGGAATGAAAGGATTACTAAGTGTTTAAAAATGAGTTTAAATTGTGCAAGATCTTTAGGATCAGGCAGAACTGTATGATCTAGTTTTCAGAGAATGAAGGGATTACTAAGTGTATGAAGGGAATGAAGGGATTACTAAGTGTTTAAAAACGAGTTTAGATTGTGCAAGGTCTTTAGGATCAGGCAGAACTGTATGATCTACTTTTCGGAGAATCAGTCATCTTTCTTGTTAGAAACAATAGCGATGCTTTCCGCATGAAAACTTTAAGTACTTATCCTTCTAGCTGTTAAGTAAATGCTTCAAAGATAACATTGCTA